ATTTGGCCTTTCTTGTCCATTCACAAAGCTAAAACTTCCGTCCAGGTTATCATGGTTTCATCTCTCAATTACTGTGATGTCTTTTCTCCTTATTCTAACCCGTGTGGTCTTGCCCTGCTCCTATCCTTGCTGAATGCTGCTGGAAAACTCACTTTTCTAGCTGGCCACTTTCAAAATTACACCCCTCCCTCTTCATGCTACCACTGGCTCACCCTTCTTTCTCTCATCCAGTATAAGCTTCTGCACTTTTAAGACCTTCATGGTTTATTTCCACCCTACTACCCTTTGTTATCAAAATGTCAGCTTTCACCTCTTATCAGTTACAGATGCTAGCCTGCATTGCCTGCTCGTTAAATTTTCAAATAAGCATCTTTATGTTTTCTCTCATACTGCCCTTCATGCTTGAAGAGCACTCTAAATATCCATAAAGCTCTTCATTATCCTTCTTCAAATCCTTCCTTGAAATTCACTTATTTTCTGTGATCCTACAAAAAGTCTAAAATGTTTAGGCTGCTGGATAACAGTCTGCTGTATTTTCCTTGTATTCCCCTGTCTCTATCCCATCTGTTATCTCTTAGCTTATATTTGGATGTTAAGGTCTTTGGGGTGGGAGAACTCTTTATTCTGTCATAACGAAATGCTGGCTCATATCTGGGACTTGTTAGGCACTTTGGCAAAACAGGTAGATAACTGGTCATTGCAGATGCAACTTTCTCTGGTTGGACCATTCCTATGACAAATAATATATTTGCAAAATAAAAAAGTGGGCATTCGTAAATAACATTTCCTTGTTTCTGGTTAATAGAGGCAACATGTGCACTTGGGCCAAGGATTTGGGCCATAGCGCCATAGTATGTCTTGAGAACTTTTCAAGGGTCCCACACACAATGTTAGCACTGTTGGGTGTGCAAACATGATTCAAAAGATGAACCCAGGGATTTTAAATAAGAATCCATAGTGTCAAAAACATTCTGACGTGTTGTCGTTGTTCTGAGTTCTTTGCAACAGAAGAATCGCTCTATTATTTTTCTGGAGTCAAAAAGAGGTGAAAGCTAAGAGCTGGAATTGTTGTTGTGTGCCTTGAGCCTACTGAGAATTACTTTTGAGTCTGTTAAGGGGTACCTCAAGCATACTGAAGAGTGCCTTAATTCTAAAAAAGTTGAGAGCCGCTAATTTAATCTTTCCTGTCTGATACTAATGAGGATTTATTGCAATACAACTTTGTGGACTAGATAATATTTCTACTTCAAATATAACCAAGAAAGGAGAAATAGTTTTAAAGGATACTTTTAGAAATCCACACATCTGTCTGAAATGTCTTGCATACTGTTGTGACTTGTTACATCTAATGTTACTATTGCTGAAGAAAATTAGAGGGGGGGGGGGATTCCCCTGTTTTTTCTGCATTTTGGCTTTTTCCCACTAGATAGCACTAGTGACAGTTTTTTGAGTCTTTCATACAATAACATGGAAGAGAAAGAGTTCTTTAAACTTTGGAAACAATGACCACTAACTCACAGGAATTGCCAAAGGGGTGAGTAGGAGGGGTAGTACTGCTTTTGCACTCTTTTATAGCTCAAGCAGTGCCTACTTCTTTCTCAGCTATGGGGAATGGCCCTTTGTGCCCAAAACCTTATCTAACATCTCTCCCAACTATTAATTTGGTCCAATAAAAGATATGAAATAAAAATCCTTCCCTGGACCATCATAGTTTTAACACCAGTCCAATCCTACTACTACATCTCAAATGTTCTTTTTAATCCACAGATACTATGTACCTTTAACATACTTTTTTCTATTTTGTTTTTGTATTCTTCATGATTTCCATAAACTCACTAAATTTTTAAATGGGAAAATACAGGTGTTAAAGAGTAGTAATTTATTTATTTCAGACTGTTGGGAAGAAATTACCTCCGGCTGCAGCAACTCAGGAGCCAACAAAAATAGAAGCAGACAACAGAACAAAGGGTAAGCCTTACTATTTTTCCCTTCTTTGCACTAAGTATTGGTAAGCTTGTTGGGAAGTGTTAAACATCTTCTTAGGTTTTGGTACAAGCAGTTTTCTTTATATCCAGAAAAGAAGGGCTGCAAGCATATTCAGAACAGGGCTTGTCTAAACATTGCCAACTCAAAATGCTTTGTTTCACAGAGGCCTCAGAATTGTTTGCCCTGATGATTTTAACCTCCAGCACTGCCACCAAAAATCAAAATTATTTCACCCACCCCAATTGTAAGAACACTTCTGAATTAATTAGATTTGAATGTGATCCAGCTTCCGACTACAAGTTGCATGTGTGTTTTTTTTTTTTTTTTTTTTTTTTTTTTTTTTTTTTTTTTTTTTTTTTAATATATATATGTCCCTAATAATAATGCTTCTCCCTATTTTTGTTTGTTTCCTTAGCTGAAACAAACTCTACCCTGCATGGAATCATATAGGAAATAAAGCATTCAACTGGAGCATCTCAATGACTGTGAACCTTGTTGTTCAAAATGGTAAAAGCACTAATCATAGAACAAAGGTGCTTAACCCCTGGCTCAGATCTGTTCTCTGACTCCCCACAGATGTTCATGTTCTATGGCCCTCCATGCTAGATCAGGCATGGATGCTGGCTCAGGCATGTGGAGGCTGAACAGGGGCAATGCAGGGGCCCAGTCTGGCCCGTGGCTTGGACCCACATAGTTCATCTGGCCTGTGGTGCCTAAACCATGAGCACCACTCTTAGGAAGATATCTGCTTTGTCCTTAGTGTGATACAGTTAGGTAACATGCAAACTACCTTGCGCATAGAGCACTCATCTTTTAGTCTTAATATTTATATAAAAGTGTTTTATGCAAAGTTTATTAAAATCAAATGTGTTTAAGGACTTTCCACAAGGTAGAGTGAACTAAGTGAAAAAACAAAAGGACTGTATTAGTGAAAAAATAGTAACTATTTAATGCTTTGAATTTCTAAGTCGAAATTCTTTTCTCTCATCCATACCTCAAGATCCTTATTACATATTTTCTACTTCTTCCGTGTGTAAAGCTCCCTTGATGGCAATAGAAATTGACACTGCTGAAAAGATATCTGCAGTATAGAATGGACTGGGGAATTTAGTCATAGAAATTTGAGCGGAAAAAGAGCTACCAGGTCATCTTGTCCATCTCCCTGCCAGTGTAGGATTACTCTTACTTGTTCCGTATATAATAAAATATTATGTCTGGCTTCACTATCCAATTATTTTACAGTTTAAAATGAACCAATATATGGGATTTCCATTGTGTTGTTTTTCTTTTGGATTCAGGTCTAAAGCTGTACTAAGAAATTAATCCTAATTTGTGGATTACATTTTCCTTTTGTTTTATACTAGCACAGTTCTTTTCTACTCTTGATGTTTGTACTCTTCAGATAAATATGGGCAGTTAACATTTTCCCCAAAACTTTAGCTCTTAATTAAAGTACACACAGAGTGGAAGGAGAATGGGGAGATGTTGCAGAAAAAAGGATGTAGAACTATTTATGAAGGGAAGGGCAGGATAAGCATTCAACTCTAAACTATTTATTCTGAGGAAATGTAAGCAGTTCACCTCTCTCCCCCACCCAGCTAATTTCTGTGCAATATAAAACAGCACTTCTAGTTTAAGACGTCACCTGAATGAACCTTTCCCAAACACCTGGAAAATCTTACTGGAATCATGCTGTTATATCAGGAATGAATTGGGCTCCTGGTTGGGTTTATGCTATTTGCACTTCTGTGGGATATTCCCTTGGCATACTTTGCACATTCAGTTTTTGTTGGTGTGTTTTTTGCTTTGTTTGGTTGGTTTTGTATTTTGGGGGGGATATGGGGGTTATTTTTCCAGAACCCTCATTCAGGCTGTGTCACCTGGATCACTTCAGTGGGCAAACAACACTGTGCTTTGCAGTGATCAACACTGATGGGATAAGCAGGCTCCTGAACAATACTTGAATAGTATAAATTACAAAATATTTCCATCTGTGCACAGTTTTATTCATAGTACTCCCAAGTTTTTCTTCAAGTTTTTTTTCTTTCGACTGTGTTTGTGGTCTTTGGAAATTTTATCTATTCTGGAACTTGATGATACCCTCTTTGAACTTCTTTAATGTTGATAGTCCTTTGAGATTTTTGAGAGGGGGAACTGTAGCATGGATAATATAATTATTACGTAATTATGCAAACAGACCACAATGCCAAGCAGCCTTTCCAAGAAATATCTCTTAAATCACCTGGAATTAACACATATTTAATGTATGAAGAACTGAGAAGCTTCTCAGTGGTTTTTATATTTTAATTGGGAGAAATATTTTTTGTAATAATAAAAGTAGTCTGTAATGATCTACTCATAAATATGGTTCTATATTTGGCATGATTAGAAAATTATTCCAAAAAACTGTTTCAGAATATTCTGGGAGTTTTCTAGCATGTTACATCTGGTGCCTTGCTGACTTTTTATTACAAGTGCATCCAAAATTCCCCACAGTTCCTAGACTGCACAACTTCCTGAATAAGTCAATTTAGCAATCTGTGGAAACCAATTATATAGTCCCATAGGATCTATGGATCAGTATTGAATACCAGCTTTTTGTACTTCTACTTCATGGTCTCACATTTATTCCATTGTTTCCAACCTACAACACATAAATAAAAATAGAAACAGCTGAACAGTACTCCTGGGTCCCTTCAGTGTTTCTGAAGTAGTCTCAAGCAGGGGAATGTTCTTCGACATTTTATTTTTATTTTCTGAAAAACCTGCCTCAAAGAAGTTTGAAAAGCCATAAATCCAAAAGATCCCCAGTCCCAGGCTGCTGCTAGGTATTCCTCAGCAGTGCTAAGCTTAGTACCATTCACTCCACCTTGGGTCTTAGCTTAATTTGCCTTTTCCTTTTTTCAAAATTGCTGGATCTTCAGTCCTTATTGGGATCGCCAGGTGCTAAGTAGCCATCCCCAGGAGTAGCTTAAGGCAAGAGTCACACACAGGTTCTGCTCAAGACTGGAAGGGGACTCTCAGAAACATTGTTTTGATTCTAATGTGCTCATTGTGAGGCACTGCTCGTAGGTGTGCAAGGTCTGTGGAGGAGCAGTTAGCATTGGCAAGGCAGAAAGACAGGAGTGTGACCACCAAGCTCTTTCTCTTTCTTTCTTTCCATAGCTAATGCCACTGCTGTCTGCTGTCAGGCAGCAGTAGCTGTGCTGGGAGGCCACATATGGACCGTAGCCTGCAGATGCATAGAATGGGAAGAAGCTTTACTTCTTTGTCTTCTTCTCTGCCCAATTCAGTGAGTTTGCAAAAGGTCCTCTGTTGTGAAGTAACAACTGATTTTCATTTCTCTCTGTCACACATTTAGGAGTCATCTCACTGTTGATACTCTTGAGCAGAGGCATAGCTGGGCAGGTTTGAACCCTGGGTAGTGCCTGGTCAGACAGTGGTGGCAGCAGCCTTATTGGCTGCTTCCTAAGTTGGCACCCAGGGCTTGTGCCCTGCTTTCCTGGCACCCCCTCCCCCCTTAATTAGCACATGACAGAAGGAAGGAGAGGTTGTAGCCATGAGAAGCATCTTCTATCAGTCCAGGTAGACAAGAAAGAAGGCTGCTCACCATGGCAGCAAGAATAAGGATTTAAGGTTGGGAAAGTGGGGGAAGAACTCTTTAGATTTGGAGAAGGGTAGAATGGCTGGGGAGAGAGGGGGAGTCCTCAGGCTTTCAAAGGGTAAAAGAGTAGGAGGCAGGGCCCTCATGGCTGTGAGAGAAGAGGAGGAAGCTTGCTCAGAGCTTGGGATTGGGTAAAAGGACCTGCAAGGATTGGAGGGAGAAGGAAAGGAGATATGAGGGCTCCAAGGCCAAAATAAAAGTGGAAGGAGGCCCCTGACTTGAATGGAAACGCTATGGAAAAAGGAAGTCCCTAGGGACTTGTAATGCCTGAATAAGAGGAAAAGACCTTAGGGTCTGTGGAGAAGAGGAAGATAAGAAGAAACGTTAGTAAATTTGAGCTGCGTACCTACACAAAGTCAGATCATCCAGGACAAGTCCTGGGTTTGTTTTCCTGTAAGAAAAACTGACCTGGACAGAAGTTTAAAATGCGATGCAGAGAGCCTGCAGGGTGGTCACTGGGCTGCCAGGTGTCCCTAGAGCATGCAGCCCAGAGAGCTCTCCTTTTTTTTTTTTAATTGCATGTATAAATATTTATCGTTTTTAAAAATGGGTCAGATTTGGATTCTGAAAAACTGTATAGTAAAGCCATTGCTAATAAGTGGGAGAGCTATTTCCAGTTGCTCAGACTGACAAAACTGAATGTAAATGCACACACTTATATAATAGATACTCAAGGATAATATGCCACAATAGGTTTCTGGTTACAGTTATTTTATGACGTTTCATTATATGGATACAAACTTCTTTGTAAAAGTAACCAATTCTTCATAATAAGAGATGAATATAACAGATGGATATGAGATGAATATTTGTTTAGTGAGTAATATGGAGAAGGTACCTTTTGTGCAAATTATAAAATGTAAAATTAACTCAACCTATATGAGTAAGAATCTGATTGGAGAGAGTTGCACTTTGTTTCTGCTATTCTGATATAATGTTTTGATGGTTTAAATATGACAAAATTAATTGGAAATAGCTTTGTGTAATCGACTTTTGGGTAATGAATTTAACAGCCACAGTAAGCACCAAGCAGTAATCCAATTCCACGTTTTGTAACAGAAGCGCAGCTTATCTTTGTGTGCAAGGTCTTTGTTGTCCAGAATTTCTTCCTCCTGATATAGAACCATTTCAATAGGATTCATATCTTGTAATTTTAGACATTCATTTTTGAACTGTTATTCTTTTTACTTATCTAAACTCCATTAGCATGTGTGTACCCAACTTATTTGGTGTGTGATTCTAGGCTTCCTGTGGAAAGAGAAATAGCCAACTTTCAAAAATCAAATATGTCAGATTTCATAGATTTCATAGACATTAG